CAGCAAGCATGCCACTGCCATTTCGGTGGCCAAGCTGAAGCACCTCAAACACACTATTTCTTATTATAAAGTTTCTGACATTCTGTGTCTCAGTGGTTTCTTTTACATTCCATATTAAGTTTCAGAGAGTTTTTAGTCATTCACCTCACCTAGGAGCAGTCTTCTCATTTTTTAAGTCTAATGCTAACCAACTACCTGGGAAGCATACTATTCCTGGAATCTGCCATCTTCTCTAAGCAAAGACTTTCAAGAAGCTGTGAGCCAAAAACTGTTATGATGAATGGGTATAAAGCCTAAAAATTTTTTTCCCAGATTAAATAAAGTAGGACATAGTTTTATTGGATAGTAATCCGTTTCACATACTTCTTCAAATACAAATAATCACATATACAAAAGGAAGTATATATGAGTAATCTGACGTTGTATGTAAAAGTGAACTTTAAAATAGAAAGAGATAAACTAAGCAATTATTAATTCTGTGATGTATTTATTTTAGCCAAAAAAAACCTATTGGTTTGTAGGCTAATAACAGTCTTTATATTTTAGTATCCACTATTATAATGTCTTCATCATTTGGAGAGGTACCTTTTTAGGTTTGAATAATTTCTTTGGAAAATATTTTGGAGGATTTGTGATTGTGGAGAAATTGCTTCTTTAGCTGAGAATGTTTTCTATGCTATTTATGCTATGACACATTGCATCAAGAACCTTGAGATCAGAAGACAGACACAGTTTAGCAATCAAATTATCTTCATTCCTCTAAAAATTTCCCCATAGATTCCTTACCTAATTCCAACATAACATGCAAATACCTGAATGTTCACAATGTAGTTTGAAATGTTAGTGCCTTGAACACTTGTTTTATGAAATTATAACACCATTTTCTTCTCTAAAAGTGTTATTACTACTCACTACAAATTTTCATATTTCACATAAAATTTCAACAAGTAATTCTATCTCAAAAATATTTTTTCTATTAGAGCTTTATTTCCTTTAATAACAGATTTAAGGTGAAACAAATACCTTAATTCAGATAAAAATGATCCATTAGTGTACAGGTTTTTGGTTTGTTGTGAATAAATAGAGAAATATACACTCCTTAATCAGTATTCCCATGGGACTAACATAACCCCACAGTTCAAGTTCAATCATGGAATGTCCTTGGAACATGTCCTTGAATTTTTCTTTTCCGGCCATGTCTTTCTTTGTTTCTTGCCTAGAAAGACTTTGTCCTCCCCAAGATACTCATATGTGTCAACTTGAACTTTTTAAAATTTAATTTTCATGATAAAAGTTTTACTATTTCTAATTTATTTTTCTGTATTGTAGGATGCATAGACATACTTTTCTAATTACTTCTAATGTTGTCAATACAACTTAAAGATAACACATATTTAAATCTTTATGTTCATAGTAAAATAAGTTCCCTACAAACTCCTTTAATATACTAAACATATTCTTTTAATGAACACATTAATCTAGTTCTAATAAAATAATATTTAATTAATGGGAGATTAAGGTATGATTTCATTCAAAAAGGTATTTTATTTACTTACTACTTTACCCTGTCACTTTTTTTCTACAAATGTCTCAGTTATATTTGCATATTTTCTTTTGTAAATCGGACAGTCCACATTCAATTGAACTATTATTGTTGGGATTTTAATTGGCATTACGTTTGACTTTCAGAATCATTTAGCACTAATTACAGTATAAGTATTTCCAGTCATATTTCTATATTATAACCTTCAGTAGGTACTAAAGAATTCTTCCTATACTTTCCTTATTAGTTTGATTATTTGTTGCATTCCTTTCTTTCTTTCCTTCTCATTCCATCCTTACTTTTTCTTTTTAAATTTCATTGTCTTCTTTCTTATAAATGTGAAAAACTTGTTAGGATTGTTGTTGTTATTTTGGAACTATTGCTTTTATGTTTATCTTTTATCTGGCTACTTTAAGGAATGTTCTCAAAGCTAATAATGTGATAATATAATTAAAGAAAACAATTCCCTCCATAGATACTTTGTCTCCTCTACCTCTAGGAGTTATTCTCACTTTCTTTTTGTTAAGAAGGACTGACAATTTTATGCGATAAAGCCATAGTGAACATTCTTTCATTCTTTCTATAGAATCATCACTATTATGATTCTATAGAGACTTGTTGTAAGTTTTGAAAATTGTACCCTTAATCTGTTTTTAGATTATAAAGAATATTTTGCTTTTTAAAAGGCATTGTTATATTTCATGAAATGTTTTTGTGAACATGTTATGTATATAAATTTTCTTCTTGATCTTGTCAATGGAATTGCAATATTTTACTAATTTGCTGTAAAGCCAAGTTGAAATTCTTGGAACATGTCCTTTTAGCTCTTTTAATACATCTCTGGTTTTGATTTGCTAATATATTTAGGATCTGGGGATCCATATTCATAAATAATATTGTCCCATGTATTTCATTTCTCTCTGTGTACACTATTCATGTATGGTTAAGGCTTTGGTAGATATAGTGAATGAGTTGGGAAGAATTTCATCCTTTCAAGGTTCTGTAACAGTTTATGAAACAAAGATATTGTTTCTTGGAGATTTGGATGTGTGACTCCACTCTTCTGAATCTCAACCTTTGGTGGAGAATAATAGAAAATACAGGGAAATGAGATTAATAGAGAAGAAGAATTGACTAAATTGGCCTCAGAGAAATAAAACAAAACAGATAAGATGATGGCATTTGTGAACTCCTGATAGGTACCAGTAGCTCATTTTTTAATGGTTACTCACTGTCTCCCCATGTTTAAAATGTAGACTTGTGACTATTTTTCTTGTCTGTTGACTGATGTGTTTCTAGGACCTAAAACAGTACCAGGCTATAGAATAACACTTAATAAGTTTGGGTCATTCAATAAATTAAATAAAAGGGAAAATGACTTTAGTTTGGTTGTGAGTCAATATGTCTTTAGAGTAATGTGAAAAAACTTAAAGTAGTATAATGTGGCTATCAGAATATTGATTAATTTGTTATCATTCTTTATCTGAGTCCCCATATCACCACCTTTCATTTAGTTTTCTTTTTTCTTTCTTTCTTTTCTTTTCTTTCTTTCTTTTTTTCCATTTTTTGGCACTTTTGGTTCTTTAAAATGTATTGACATTATTTTTTTCTGTATTCAGATTTATAGCTTCACTCCATAGCAACATTACCTTCTTTCTTATTAGGGCTATTTTTAAAATCTGAATGGGGGTACAGAGGAAGAATTTCAGATGAAAGAATACCTGTCTCTTGATGGCAAATCACATGTTTCTTTTAATATCAGGTAAGTATGAAACAAAGTCTTTCCTTTCTCTCAGTGAATGCACAAAACTTCCTAAAAACATTGGTCAGAAGTTCTTAAGAATAATATTTCTCCAAATAAATGGGAAAAAATTTAATTCCATAGTGTAATAAATAAGTAGTAGATTTCCTTACTAATAAAAATTTATATTATTTCAAATACAGATTTGCAAGTTGGAGAGCATAGTTTTAGCTTTTAAAAATTTGTAATAAAAGGAAAAATCAGAGTTGCTTCAACTATTACTCTGTTGAGTTCACAAATTGTCATATCTTCTCTTGATGTTCTTCTTTTACAGGTTTATTTCTTCTTTTGCAATAAACACATCTCTCCAATTCCTGATTACTTTTTCTCATCTCTCTCTCTCTCTCTGGGCTCTACTCATGTTTCAAGTTTTATATACTTTTTGAGGACTTTTCTATCTGCTGCATTGCTTTCCCCAGTCCTTAAAGTCCTATTTTATTTAGAAACATTATTGATTATAATTCTAATTCATTTCATATTTCCCTTAGTAGACTACAAACTGCATAATGGTAGAAACTTCACTACTTAACCATTGATCTTTAAGTTGTGCTTTTAAAATATAGTGGCAATTGAGAAATATTACATATATTCATTTTAAAGACTATATTAATATTTCTGTGATCAACCTGGCCTGTAAATAGCATTCCTTGGTCTGGCCCTCACTATTAATACAGAAGCTGAATTCTATTTGTTTTAGCATTTCTAAACATATAATAGGGAAAGATAACAGGAAAAAAGCAATGGACACTGAGTAGTATAAAAAAATCAACAAAAAGAGGTATGAAAGAGTCATTATTTTTGCATATTAAATTGACCTCTTTACTCCATAGCAGGACTGAATTATGCCCAGATTCCTCCTCCAACTTTTCTTTCCTTTCTCTTTCCTAATTCCAATGTAATGCAGAAGGAGATATGACAGTTTATGTTATTGCTTTTCAAACAACATGAAATTGATTGTTTTATTCTTTGTTAGAAATCTTGCTGTTATCTATTGTCATGGCATGTTTTAAAAAGAGAATTTACTTATTGCTTATTAAAGATGACATTGGAGAGCTAAAACATTATGGCATCCATTTTCTCCTAGAGCACATCATATGGTTAAAAAATATGGCCTGGGTATTTGTTGACATTGCTATCAAAACTAAACTCAGAAATCCTGGAGTTACCCTTTTCCTACTCTCATTTCTTTTAATGACTGAGTTAACTCATTTCCCTTGTCTGTCACCAACGCAGTGCTAGAAGATTTAGGCTCAGGTGATAAAGAAACAAACAGAACTTATCTAATCGAAGAAAGTTTACAAGGATGTTTGTCCATCCCTTGAAAACTTTCCAAATGAAAGATCATTTTTGGGGGTCCTAGGAGAAGGTAGATTCCAGATTCATAAAATGGAGGGTTGGGAGCTAAGCTTATGTTAAAAATACATAGCTATCGCTATCATAAAACTTAGTCTCAAAATAGTAACTCCAACTTTTAAAAAAGGGAATATGTTGAAAACTACTGAAGGAAAACATTTTTTAAAGTTATAATTAGATGATAGGAATATGGGGCGGAGTTGTTCTTAGAGAAATAAGAGCAGCAATAAAAAGGAATTATGCTTGGCTTGAGTCAGCATAGTTCCAGAACACTAGATGGATCAGAAAGAGCAGAAAGGCAAGATGGATGAAGTTAAGCTTTCTGTCTTGGGTGGTGAAGGCACCGGCAAGTCTGGTGAGTGGGGATGCCTTCTGTGGTATGAGGTAGAGTGCAAAATGAGAAACACTGACATGTTCAATAAGAACATTATATAAAATAACTTTAGATAAATAATGACTTATTTAATCTGTGGGATGATACACACATTATTATTTGCAGGATTTTTTAATGCTATAGATGAGTAATTTTATATTTATAAATAATGTAGTCAGATGTAGCAAAATAAATGTTTGACATATTAATTAGTGTCTGCTTCTCTTGATGTTTGAAATTCATAGGGATTCATCATTCCTCTTACTTCTAACTCCAGTATACCTGCCCATACACCAATAGATTAGCCCCATAGCTAAGCAATGACTTTGAAAAAACCCTTCTCTGAAACTAAGGGTGGAAAGAGATGCATAGAGACACATGGGTTGTGTTTAAAATGCAGCCTTGTTGATGTGAAAGGACTTGGGAGGGACATGGCCTTGTGGAGAACCTGAAACTAAGCTACATGTGCCTTATTTTTGGAAGCCCTGGTTTGATTTTATTTTGCTTTGCTTTGGTTTTACCTGTATTTGAATGGCAACCGGTATGTCCCTCACAGATCCACATAAGCCTAATGAAGTGGCCAAACTCAGAAGCTGAGATGTGATAAACAGATACCAGAAACGGTTTTGCTATTTCCAGGATTTAAAAATCCTACATCCTTAAACAACTGCAAATGCTTGATAATGTCCTTATCACTATTTTTAAAGCCTTTTTAAATGTTTTTCTATTTATAATTATACCTAAAGGTGGGGTCATTGTGATGTGTTTACACTTACATATAGTACCTTGGAGCCAGATTTAATTTGATAGAGAAAATAAAGAATGCAATAGTCTAACATTTCAAATATAATGAGATGTGTTTGTATTATAAAATATGGGTTGCCTTATGTGTTTTCTTCATGAATTAACTACAGTGTTTAAATATATAGTGCTCTAAGATTTTATTTTTCTATTTTCATAATGTTATGTTTGTACTATGCAAACATTATTGACACATTTAGATTAGAATTTAGTAAGATTTTAAGTTCTTCAAAAATGCATGACAATTTTTGAGGTCAAAGATAAAATTTTAGTACACATATAAATTATCTGTATCTAAAAATGTAACAATCCTTAACCTAGCTTTTTTTTTTTTTTCAGCCCTTACTGTAAGGTTTCTTACTAAGCGATTCATTGGAGAATATGCTTCGAATTTTGGTAAGGCACTACTAAAGACTTCTTATCTTAAAATGTCAACATCATAAATATTCCCCAATTAGAGAAGCATTTTGGTAGAATTTACCACTTTTATATTTATTAATCAATTTATTAATTAACAGATTTTTGTAAGAAATGCCAGAATAGGTACTCGAATTGAATATCCTTTAATGATAAAAATTCACCCAATTTGATAATGAATTAGAAAGTCAGTTCATTTAGAAGTCTAGAACTTGGGATCCTCTTCCCAAATAGTGTATGAATATTTGTTGTAAAATATAGAATGTTTAAATAAATCATCATTTGTTACAAGAGCCAATTGAAACTAAAAAAAAAACAAGTACCTACAAAATAAAGCATACTGCTATTTAAAAGTCAGGTATAAACAATAGAAAAGTCATGCCTTGTTTAAAAATCATATTATTTTCTACATTATTTACAAATTTCAGAAAAGTTCTAAAACAGAGATAGCAGGGCATCTTAGTATACTTTCAGGATCCTTGCACTAACTCTAATTTTGTGTAATTTTGATCAGAATTAGCATAACACATGGGGTATATCATGGCACAAAAAGTGAGGAATTTTACCCCAATTGAGTAATTTTTGTCCAGCAATCCATCAATATAATGGTGTTAATATCTTATTTTATCAAAGGTAGAGATTAATTTTTTAACAACAGTGATAATTGTAATAAATATGAGATATAAGAGAAAGAGCAATATATTTTTCATTCAAAATTATTTATGTAGAGTAAGAAAAGTTAAAGATTTAAAGTGTGTAATTCACCAAGAAACAAATAAACGTTGAACATTTATTCCTAAAGTGGCACTGTTAGAGTATTTCACAAAATAACTTGGAAGTACTGTGTTGTGCACATGTATCCAACACAGTATTTCAGTCTGTATGACATTGTGAACATTTTACGGCAAGTGCTTGAAAACTGATTATAGAAAGAAGAAGTATACAAAAAGAGAAATTTCCAGTGTTTCATTTCTGAGGGTGACAAAATCAGCTCACAAAGGTCAACAGCCCACAAGGTAGGACTCAGGCATGAGAAAAGGCTCCAAAACTAAAAATGAATCTAAACATAAATAAAAGAATACAATATCCAAATAACAATACCAGCAATAACAAAACCCTTCACCTTAATGTCTTCTACAATCTAGTTACATAAACAAATGAAATGTTTACACATTTCTGACTGTTACATCTCAATGAAAAATACAAGACCTGGAGACATTTTGAAAAGATAAGCAAGTGATCCAAAGGTCACCCACTCTCTGAGAACAAGCTAGCAAGAACAGCTTCATCCTGTAAATGAAGGCCAGAAGGGGAAAAAATATATATATTTTTTAAACCAAGAGTTGATGACTCTTGTCAGCAGTTTTTGAGATTTGAGATTGGATTTTTAAAATGTCTCCAAGGAGATTTTATGGTTTATAGTCAATAGTAAATCTATGAAGTTTAAAATAAACTCTGAAAATAATTTAAGATTTGATGAAACTATAATAAATTTTATTAAATTTAACTTGGAAGGATTTAAAAAGTTAGACTTAATTCTCTGGGGAGACTTCCCAGATATCTGCTATAGCTTTGTACTATGGGTTACAGAATATTTGCCAGCATAAATTATAATTTTTTGTCAGTATTACATTATTTTGTAAAAAAAAAAAAGTAGGTCTTTTATCAAAGTGGTTGTGGAAATTAATTAATTCATTAAATTATTATTCATGTACCATAGACTCTTTCAGGTAGACAGGAGACAGCAGTAAATAAAAATGACAAATAGCTAATCCCTCGTGGAGTTTATAATCCTGACAGAAGGGTCTGTTAATCCTGGCAAAAGAAAAAATTAAAACTAAATTATGTCATGATGACAAATGCTATGAAGAAAAAAAAAGAGAGAAGCACTCATATTGTACATAGCTATTTAAAATAAGATGGTCATCACAGATCTTTCTGAGAAAATGATATTGAAACACAAACACAGTAAATGGAACCATGAAGTTATCTGGGGTTTATATTTTAGTCAGAAGAAAGAATAATTAACAAAGTTCTAACGAAGGATGTTTCTGAAAAAAATCTGAAGAATGGTATGAAGCTTAGTGCCAACCAAATGGAGAGAGTGTAAAATAAACAAAGAGAGGTTCTGAAGTCCTAGAGGTAATGGGGATTTAGATAATGAGGAATATTCTTAGGTGTTTTAAAAATTTTGTTTTAACCCTAGTGAGATGGGAAGTAATCAAAGCGATTTGATTAGCTAAGTATCTGCTCTGACTAGAAGGTTCATTTTTGTTTCTGTATTGAGAATTAACTAGGGACAGGAAGGGATTGGGGGACTGGAAGAAGATAGGTAAATTAGGACATTCTGTAATAATCTAGGTAAGAGGTAATGGTGATTTAGAGTGTTAGCAGTGGAGATAGTGAGATGCAGATAAATTAAAAATATATTTTGAAGGTAGAATAAAATGAATTTTTAATAGAATGGATATAAACACAAGAAAAAGAATCATGGAAGATCTTACAGCTTTTTATCTGAAAAGTTGGATTTATGGGTATAGCATTTAGCAAAATGGAAATCTGGGGAAGATGCAGCCTTTGCAGAAATATCAGGGGTTCAGTTTAAGTGTGTTGTGGGTGAGATGTCTACCAGGCCTGGACATGTCAAATAACAAGTGGTTCAGGGATATTCTTGGTTCAGAGAAATATGGACTGTAGATATAGGCTGAGTTAATAGTGGATAATTGGCATGTTCAGGCATGTAGTTGGTCGAGATTGGCAAAGCAGGATAGATAGAAAAGAGTACCATGAACTGGGGAATTAAGTTTGGAGGTGGGAGGAAAATCAGAAGTTTAAGATGGAGTAACAGAGAATAAATAAAACAGAAGAGTATGTATAGTTGAAGGCCATGTGAAGAAAATATTTTAAGGAGATAGGAGTGACCAACTACATTACTGCTACTAGTAAGGCAGATGAGATGAAGACATAGAACTGACCATTGAGTTTTGAAATATTCAAGTTAGAAAAAAATAAGCATGTTTATAAGATGTTGTTAATGAAATACTAGAGAGAAAAAAAGTCATGATACGGGAAGACAGAATTACTGAAGCTGTGTTTTTAAGCAGCTGAGAGGAAGTCATGAGTATTTGAGGGTAAACGGAATGTCCATAGTAGGAACACAAATAATTAATCGACTGGAAGGCAAGCAGGTAAACAGACATGGGGTGAATTTCATGTGTAAGTAACATACTTGAGTAAATACAGCATGGGCATGGTTTGAGTCACCAGCAGGGAAGAAAAGGTACTGTTCTGTTCCACTAAAATAGGGCTGGTTGAATGTGACAGACTGTGATCAGGTGAGTGGACCTTTTATTCTGGAGTTTTTCCATGCCAACAATGCCTATATATTATTTTGCAGAGTCTATCTATAATAAGCATTTGTGTTTGGAAGGGAAGCAACTGAATCTGGAAATATATGACCCTTGTTCTCAAGTAAGTCAAGCAAAATCCTATTTTTTCCCTTGTTTTAATTATGACTTGAAGTTTTGATAAAGGTGTGTGAAACATTATCAGTGTTATAATGAAGTTTCTTCTCAGTTTTAATTACTAAAATGTTAAGAGATTACTTTATGTGTTATAAATTCCATTTTCTGGCTTCTCTAAAAACTTATGTCAAAAAATTAACACATCACATATATCTTTAAAATAGAAATACTAGGTTTCATTCATAACATATTTCTGTCAGGTCATATAGTAGCTGTCAATTTTGTGGCTTGTCAATTCAATTACTATTTTCACTGACTTGTATTTGTAAGTAACCTGGTTTAAATGAGTACAAGTAAGATACATTTTGAGTACAAACCTCTTTGACCATTCAAAATACTAAATAGTTAAAATAGGATTATATAAATGAGAAAAGGAGTCAAAGGAATATTAAGAAAGAAATAACTGTCAGTTGTCTATGGTTTCAAAACAACTCCATGGGACATATTTTTAGGGGGTAAGTAAAAATTGCTTTAAATATATTTAGCTAAACTTTACCAATTTTATGGGATTTTCATTCACTTTTAATCAAAGAAAGAGAAATAAGAAAGAAATACACAAAGAAAATACATTTTAGAGAATATCAATTTGGGGCTTTATTGAAGTCTCTTTCAGGTGAAATGGGTCTGCATCAATTAACTAGATTATAAAGTACCAGTGTTTGATTCCAACACTTTCAATGCACTTGCTTTACTTTCAGTTGCAGAAAGCAAAATTCTCTCTCACAAGTAAACTTCATTGGGCAGATGGGTTTGTTATTGTGTATGACATCAGTGACAGATCTTCCTTTGCTTTGGCAAAAGCCCTTATCTACAGAATTCGGGAGCCACAAGCTAGTCATTGCAAAAGGTAAGGTATTTCGTTCTCTTCTCCTTTCTTTTGAGTAAATCATCATATGGCTGTAAGCATCATTAGGAAGAATTTAATACAGCCTTCCAATTATGAAATTTAACAACCCTGAACAATTCACCTTCCCATTCCACAGGAGTTACACGTGTAGTAAAAGGAATAAGATGAGAATGCTTTATATCCAGGCTGACATAAACAGTTACTTGCCCTGAGTAAATGGCTATTTTACAAGACAGCGTCTATTGTTAACATGACACTCACTTGCAAAATAATGGTCCTCTGTACACAACAGAGTTCCCTTTTCAACCTTTCCTTTTCATTTTCACACACAAAAAAATGTTAAGGATACTAAATAAATCCAGATTTATTACATTTGGCATCCTGTGAAATCCAATTCCTAGTTATTGGGTTGTTCCATCTTTCACAGCAAAAATAGACTGAATAATCAAAGCATTTTCAAATTCTAAATATGAGAAAGCAGTTTTCTCCATTTCATCTTCTTTAAATAGCTGGCCAACAATTCTCCATTGTTAATTATCTTGACACACAGAACTATGAAGGAAGAGATAACTTGTCCTTAAACAATTATTGTGTTGGTAGATAAAAGCTTTAAGCATCTAAGTATTCCATGTTAGTTATTCCTATTTTTTATTGTAAACTTTAGCCTTTTTCATTTGAGGTCTTTATGTTTAACGTGTGGATATAAGTATTCTCTGTGCTCTTAGCCAGTTTTGCCGGTAGAGTCCAAAATAATGTTCTAATATGGTAAGTATAAAAAGTACAATATTATTACTGCAAATTGGTAAAAGTGTTTTATATATCTACTTTAACTGTCCACTAGCAAGGAAACCATGGGCCAGTAATTGATAAAGGGCATATCCCTAGAGCTAATTCATGTACATTCTGCTTTCCATTTGATTTACCTTCGGTAAACCACTTCAATCTCGAGAGCTCATTTATCTGATCTTACAGCTGATGACAGCATAGTAGGAGCAGAGGATGTGATTTTACTCAGGTGCCTCATAGCCCTGATTTCCTATAACATTACTGACTTTTTAGAATTCAGGCATTTATTTTCTTATATTTTTGCATTAATGACATAGGTAGGGTAAAACAATAAAGTTCTTTTTATATCCTTTCAAAGCAAAATAATCAGTCAAGAATACTTAAAATCACATTTAATATATAAAAACCTATTTTGACATTTTTACAGCAATCTTGTCAATTTATTGACTAAACTATTCCTGGAGTATTTCCAGTTCTTGATCTGAAGAAAGGCCAGGAGAGTAAAATATGGAACTCTTGTAAAATTACCTCTGATATTCATGATTCATCATTCAGAATACTTTCAACTACCTTTCCTCATTTTATCCTTTACAATCATTTTGTGTATTTGACTGAAGACAATATTAATACCCCTTAAAGGCCACCACAAACAGAGCATCTTTCCTCACTGCCCACAGGCATATGAATGAACCTAACTTCAGTGGATTCTGGTGTCTATAATTAGAGGCCATCCATGTTTACACATTTCTTTCTTATGCCACTTTAAAGCTAGAAGTTTCACTGTATTTTTCACCAAACTCTTTATTTGTATTGTTTCACCATTACAAAGTAGAGCTATTGTATTTGTAGAAGATATTTTATCTTAACAAGAACCATTTTTCAAATGTAAAGTTGTATTTATTTGTAAGTTACCCATTGTCAATAGAGCATAAGGAAGATACATGAGAGTAAAAATTTTTCTAGAGCACGTTATAATGTATACTAACAAATAAAAGCAGCAGTGATTACTGATTAACTTTTGCTTAAGAAAACATCCAACTTAACTGTTCAATTCCAGTAACTATATAAGTAGAGATATTTGTTCATTCTCCTCTTGCAAATAATAATGGACATAAAAAATAATAGTAAGCATCTTTTATTGCCTGGAACTGTGCTAGGTATTTTTATATACATCATTTCATTTAATCTGTGTGAGAAATCTCTGTGATGAGGACTATTTTACTGTTTTTTACATAGAAAGAAACCAAAACTGGGAAAGATACCAATAATACCTAGTTAGTAATCAGATTCAGTATTCAAGAATGGGTTTATGTTACTTCAAATCCTCAGCTTTAAGGGCATTGTTGCTTTCGTGTTGTTTACTACATTCTATCTAAAACAATTCTTGTAAGTAGATGGTGACACATATTTTACTGCATAACCAATTATTTATGCCAATTGTTTTTTGCAAAAAAAGTGGAATGTGACCATTGTGTGAAGCTTTTAAGAACGTGCTGATAATATTTAAAAAATCACTTATTACTAAATTGGTTTTGGTGCAAAATTAGTATGCATGGAAGGCTTGTCAATATGTTAATGCATGGAGATGATTATGTGGTGAAATACTATATGTGTCACCATATCCACATGTGACCATAAACATATATACACAATAGTATATATATATATATATATATATATATATATATATATATATATACACTTTGACTCTTCTTTGACTCATATGAACCTTCCTGTTATAAAAAAGAGTTATTGAAACAATTTTGCCAAAAATTACATGTCTGTATTTCAGAGCTGTGGAACAGGCAGTGCTTTTGGTTGGCAACAAGCAAGACCTCTGTCATGTGCGTGAGGTTGGCTGGGAAGAAGGACAAAAGCTGGCACTGGATAACCGATGCCAATTCTGTGAACTGTCTGCAGCAGAGCAGTCTCTGGAAGTAGAAATGATGTTCATCAGAATTATCAAGGATATTCTTACAAACTTCAAGCTCAAAGCAAAGAGAAGATCCAGTGGATCTAAGTCAATGGCCAAACTGATCAATAATGTATTTGGAAAGAGAAGAAAGTCTGTTTAGCAGCCATATAATCCTAGGGGATTTATTATGTCAGAGTTTCAAACATTCACATGGTAATTAAACCTATCTGTTGTTTGCTTTTTTTGTTGGGGTGGTGGTACCAGAGATTGAACTCAGGGGCACCTGGCCACTGACCCACATCCCCAGCCCTATATTGTATTGTATTTAGACAGAGTGTCACTGAGTTGCTTAGCACCTGTCTTTTGCTGAGGCTGGCTTTGAACTCCAGATCCTCCTGCCTCAGCCTCCTGAGCCACTGGGATTACAGGTGTCACCAAGCCTAGCCATTGTTTGTAATCTTTAGAAAAAAAATTTGTCTGAGATATGAAATGATTGAGCGTGAACCAACCTGCATTTTCAAATGTGTAGTTTGCTTTTGGTTGATTGTATGCAGTTCTTGCTGCTTCACACATAACCTTTCATTTGTTGAACAAAAAAGGACTCACTGCAATCTACTGGTAGATTGTTATCCATGGTGCCTTGCCAAGTCAACTCTGCTCATGTAATTTTATTAAGCTACCATCCCATAGTCTGTGGTTTAACTTTAACTTATTTATTTCTTTGAAATAAATGAGCAATTATCTTCATAGAGTTAATATAAGGTTTGACTTATCAATTTGTTTAAGTTCTCCATCTATTTAACAGAAATGCATGGATTTACTTTAGAAATGTCTTTACAATATTATAGTGACCTACATGACATTTTATGTATTTAGATTAAAATATAACTTAAGGCTTAAGATGTTAAATTCTTAATAAATATTTTATGGTTGGTCTGATGGTGAAACTGTCTGCCTTTTTCTGTTGCATGCTTAACAAGTTCCCATCTTAACAAGGGAATTTCTCACTGTAGCTAAGATCCTTTTTAGATTAAAAAAAAATTTTTGTTTATTTATAAACTCATGTATGATAGTGTAAAACAAGTAAAAACTTGTTGGTGAATATATAACCCTGAAGGCTTTGTTGGCTTGAAAAAATGTTTTTGCATTAGATTTTGGGCCTTATTTGATTACTTTAATTACCTTCACCTTTCAATGATTTACCCCTAATATGTGATATTGATAGCAATATCACTGCTACTGCCCTTGCTTAGTTTTCCCACTTGATATCTCTCAAATTAAGGCTGTCATCCTAACTTTGGCCAAGTGCTGAGAATGAAGGTTAGGTCTCAGACAAGTTAAAAATGGTACTACAAGCAATGGTGCACACCCACTTGTTTAATAAATACCAGGAGGAACCTGGGGAAGATGGAAGATGATCTTGCATAGAGGGTAGTAGATAGGACAGAGGAAATCATAACATAGACGATCAAGCTATATAGAAGAAAATTCATTGACATGGGCTTATTCACCATGAGTCATAATTCAACATTTTAGGAAGGACACCTAGAGCTGTTCCATACAGCTTTGCTGTTCCTTAACAATCTGATACTGTTTTTTTAATCTGATACTGTTGTTATCCTGAAGGAAAATGTAGTGGAAAAAGAGAATCCTGTGGAAATAAGCAACACAGGTTCTGAATGTTTATAAAGATGGCAGGGACTGGTTAGAAATATTGATGTAGACTGGATCCATTTGATTATTTTCACTGGAAGAATTCAAGCGAACTTTCTTTATTTGGGGAGTAAGGGTTGTACTGGTAAGGGGGTACAGACAACTGTGGGAACCAGGTGACTGCTTTATGGGACTGAGTAAAGAGTAGATCAGTGTGGTTGTTCTCCATCAGTGGATGCTACCATTGAACTGTGCTTCTCAATATCAATGCAAATTCTAGAATCTTCGAACAGCATAATCTGGATGTCTAGATTTAATCTGTTCCCAATTATCCACCCATCTAGTTCCCCAAACAAAATAACTGTGGTTGACTCCATTTCTGATACTGGCTGGCTCCATATTTAGAAGTGATGTACTCACTAATCTTGAATGAAAGGCTACATTGTGAACCCATGCATTGTTTTCATTTGTATCACCATGGTCAATATTCTCATGTGTACATTATATGAGCACAGAAATAGCCAAGAAAAAAAGATAGATTGATATCTTCTGGCCATGTCATCCTGTCTATCTGGTTAAGTGATTTATCCTTGGTAAATTGCTCTCTGGTGAGCATTACATTATATACAAATATCTGTGTATTTTATGTCCTTTCTGAGTGATCTGTTCATAGGCCTTTTTCTTAGACCTTCTTATCACTGATCATCCAGTTTTACCTCTGACCAACTGGCAAAACAATTAATGATTGCCTGGAAATCAGTGTACTACATGTACTTTCCTAATAAGCAAGGTGAACGACAAAATGTGCTTCTTGAAATTCTGCCAACTGATATAATTTCCTTCTGCTGATGAGTGTCATGGTTACCTCTGTGTAGGACCATAATGAGGAACAGTCCTCTTTTGGCTGGCACTAAAGTATTGAGTGAAGGTGAGAAAAACTCCCTGTGATCTAGGGATATTCATTACTATGTGAATGAAACATAAATGTCTATTGTGTAGTTATCCTTGCAAATTCAAGGAGAATACTTTTAGCCAACTATATAAATAGAAATTTTAAGTTTCAATATTGACACTATATAAATATATACTCATAGATATACACTATTTTGATACTATATATGCAAAAGTTAGGATAGGAAGTTATATTTCTTTCATTGTTTTGTTCTTATTTTCTGGATACTCTCATTTTTAGAGATCTGGCCTTCATTCCTTTGATCATTTTTTTAAGTTAAATTTATTTGGGTATTTTTCGCCTTAAAAAATAACATATTTATCCCCATTACATGTAGGAACTCTAATGTTCAAAAAGTATTCAGTTTCTTTAATAGATTAATTAATGCATTTTTATCTGTGATGACTCAGAGTAAAAAATTTCTTTGTTATATATAATACTTTTATTTTTGCACTTAGAAATTTTATTTATTATACTCTATTTTTTTTATCAAGATAACCTGCAATGACACACCTCATTACAAGGAGGCTACAGAAAGAACAGTAGTAAGAACAAGAATGGATATTTTCAGAGTGTTTTGTAATGGAATAACTTTAGAAATAGTTGAGGTGCTGGGGATATAGCTCAATGGCAGAGCATTTGCCTAGCCTGCACAAGGCCCTTTGATGATGTGACATCATCAAAATATGTGATGGTAGCACAGTTTTTTTTTTGTGTGTGTGTGTGTAATTTCTCAAATCAAAACATCGTTTCAACCTTCCCATTCCTGCCACTAGCTTAATTATTGATCCATCTTATGGATTCTCTTTTGATAAATGGGACAAAGTGAAAGTGTATCACTTATGAAGCCAGATTAGAAAAGGAGATATAGTGTCCCTCATTTTCTTCTCCCTTAGAATTCTACTTTGGAAGCCATGTGTCAACATGTGTGAATCTTGCTACCCTAAAGGCACCAGCTGGAGATACCACATAGAATCGGTGATCATTTAACCCAATAGAGGTATGAGTAAACCTTCTGATGATTCCAAGTTCCAATCTTTGGGCTACTTCAGCTGCTAGATAGTAGATGAAGCAGAGATGAGTTATCTCCTCCCCACCCACCCCACCTGAATCTCATCCCAGTGATAGATTTGTGTTAATGAAATGTATCATGATTATTTTAGAATTGTTGCCTGGCAATACATTACCAGAACAGATAATTCATTAAAATCCTCAGCAACTAAGCCAATATAAAATGTTTCACTTTTTTTTTTGCTAGAGAAAAACAGGATGAAAAAAGGAATCCTCCAAACAGATTCAAAATTGTCTAAAACATGAGGTTGTTTGAGTATCTGTTTCCTTGTGAATACAATTCACTTGTAAAGCAAATTGCAAAACTTTAAAAGTAATAAGTTACATTTTTCCGAAGTGAGCAAATAACATACCTATCTACAGAAAAACAAATACATCAACGTTACCTCAGAGAATGTTGTAGGTTGAGGGTAGAAAATGTGTCCATAAATCTCAGAGAAAGTTTAGCTGTATCACTAGGCTTGGAATTGCCTGTGCTGTTCTAGTAAAAAAGATGCTGTCATTCACTTTGGATGAGCTTCAATGAGATAACACATAATGAGGGGTGACAGCTTAGGATGGGAATGCCAAAGGGGAGGGGATTTTTAAAATGGTTTTGATTTAATACAAGGCATGCACTATTAATAAAGAGGTTGAATGATACCTGTATGTTTTATAGGTTTATAAATTGGCTGTAGTAAAATATTTTACATCTTAGATCACTAGGTATTGTTTCAGCTTATTATGGGAGATATCTATCTAGAGTTGACTGAATTGTATTAATCTGAACCTAGTTTAATGATGCCTTAACATTTTTATGGGGAAATTTAATGTTTGCAATATCCATGTTCCTTATTTGAAAGCGTGACTTATAGGTTTCTCATCTTCCTTAAATTATAAAATCCTTCAGCTAATAAAGGAAAATGATTATAGTTTGCAAAAAAGGCAAAGTCATTTAACAATCCATATAACTGTCTATTGTAGGGCTTTGCATAATAATTGTAATTTAGCTATTAGGGATTCTAAAGGCAGTTATCAGTCATACTCTACAATTCTAGAGGAATCATGCAAAGCCCAAATTATTTAAAGTATTTTAAAATCCCCAAAAAAGTATACCATAAATTTGAAATATACTCTATGGTGACAAGCTATTATTTTATAGGAAAAGAAAAAGTTCATCATAATTTTCAAATGTATAAACCACTGAAAAGATTATTTTTCTTCCTTTTCAGATACAGATATGACACAAGCTGTTTTTTTTTAAATAATAGAATTGTATTCTAAGTTAGGAGTCTGTGGATTAAAAAATATCAGTGTCAAAGTGAAAATGACCAACAAGTTATTAATCCTGGAACAGCTAGGGCATAAATAATTAAGAATAAAACAGGAAAAAATAAAGAGTAAGAGATGCAAACAATTGATATTATATGAAAGTTTAACTAAGAGTTGCCTTTACAACTTTTAGACCATTTTAGACACTCAAGGTAAGTATTTAACCACCAGAC